CATTAGCCATCCTTACCCTTTTGGGCTTAAGAATATACAGTCTCTTCTTCATGTCAAGCTGCTCAGAAATTATAATTTTGATTAATCTATAAACTTCGGCGGAAAATTTTATTTCACATTGTTTTTAAGATAGCAATTTGAGGGTTTAACTTTGGAGATGAGTTTCATCCCTTAAACTAGAGTTATTGCAGATAAAATGAAGCTCGTGTCTAATATTTTTAATTGTACTTGAAGCCTAAAGCCACATTAAAATCGGAGTCTGACCGTTCAAATCCTTTCCTTATAATATACACTGCCGAGTTTTTGGATGTAAGCCTTTTATGCTTCCACCGATTTTTATGAAACCTTGTACATGCATAGAACTTAATTAGATATATAAACAGAACGCTTCAAATTTTTATTGGAGACTGTAGTAAAAAACCTTAACAATCACCCCTTTTCTTTTTTCGAGATTCTAACGAATGGCAATTGTTTTCAATTTCTTGTTACATGACGTAGTAAACTTCTCCTCACATCCCAAAAAGAAAATGAAGAAAGTTATTCTATTTTGAAGTGTCCGGAAATTAATGGGAGTTACTGTATTCCGTTTTCATTTTTTTATTACCAATAAACTATTGGAACATGTCACAAGATCTGATTACAGTTTTACAAAGACAAGCATATGAACATATTCTACGATCACGAGTCATCAGAATCTCAATCATGCATAGGCGATTGTAGTTATTTATTCCGAAAAATTCGTACAGTCAATCGAACTCGCTGGAAAATACCGACACCGCATTTCACAGGACACACAGAATGCTTGTTTTGTGATTTTTATTTAAATGATTTGTTTTCCATTTGTTATCATATTTAACACGACCTGTTACATTTTATGTTAATGAACATATAGTAGTATACTTTTATATTTGTTGAAGGTATTTGTTACACTTCTTAGACTTAAATGAGAAATGAGAATTGATACGTAGCAGTAGGCAACTAATCCCACGAATTCCATTCGTTGAACATCTTTTGCATTGTATGTAAATGTTAATTATTAAGCTTGTATAATTTTTTACAAATTCGTTTGAGTATTTAAACAAAAATCGCAAAAAGCCTTTTATTATTTTTAAGAGGACAAAAAAAAAATGACAGATCAAAATCAATGAAAAAAAGGACGATGTGGCGACGAAATAATCAAAGACGTTTTCTACGTCTTCAATTAATTTTTTATTGTATTCAAACCTTAATGATCGATTTTAGAATCTTTGTTAAAGAATGAGTGTAGATTTGCGAAGTATTTTGATCGTTTTACTTTTAGCTGCATAATGTACTATATTTGTTAAACGGGATGCTATTTAAAGAGAAGAGAAGAAAGAAAAGAGCCCGAGGAATAATCATGTGTTTACGTCTGTTTGCATTTCAATAATCAGCATGTAAGACAACATTCGCTAACTTTAGAATGAAACAAGACACGCTCGTGTTAAAAATTCGTATCGCAATTGGTCTAATTAACCTCCTCGACGTGATACATCTTAAACTTTGTAGGGAAACGATAAAAAGGAAAAAATAGAGTCGCCGTGCTGTTATCTAAGCATTTCTTTGAATTCAAACGATGTGTTACATTTTACAACAGTATTGAAGTACAAAGCAATAAATATACTTATCTTTAGGCTACAGATAGGAGGGAACGAGTAGACGCGTTATTCTGAACGTTCCATCCGGAATAAAACGCTCTGTACAAAAAATGAAACATTGGAATTGAGGCTATTTTTTATTAGGTACAAGAGAGTCTTGAAAAAGTATTCATTTGTCACGTAAATTATTGTATACGTCATTATACATAGAGATATGCATCCCATTGCGCTAAGAGATATTTTCAGTTAACTGCGAAACTCATTTCTTGTTACTCATTATTAGACAGCGGATGTTTATGCAAAATGAAACACTTATTTCGAGTAATTCAGATAAACATTTATTTTGTCGTTTGATCATTGAAATATACATTCAGCTTTTGATATTTTGTACACGTAGCATTCATCAATCGTCCACATTCCACTTCCTTATAAATGCACAAAATCCGCTGTCTACTCATTACATTAGACTAGACTGCGGACTTGCATGCGTAATAAAGCATTTATATGAGTTTAAAAAGATACACCTTAAATAGAGATTTCTTTTATCATTTAAACATTGCAATATACATCGTTCAATAGTTTGCATATTTTCATACACGGCAAACATGTTTTGGATGTAATTTCCTTATAAATGCATAAAATCCGCAGTCTACTCATTATATCTTATGCGACAAAAATGTTCCGTTATATTGTATCATCTGGATTTGTACCTTCGTTAAATGATAAGTCGGATAGCTTTATCTAATCTCATTTATAATAGTCCTTTCACGAAATACCGATCCAATATTATTGGCCATACACAGACAAAGTATTAAGTATTAATTACGTTTGTACGGCGACTCTAGTCAAGTGGATATACCTCCGTAATAATGACCGCCCCGCGGGGTATGCAGTTCATGCTATACTTAATTTTAACTTAAAACCCTCAGTACCTATTACACAGCAACATTATTTAGATTTACACGATTTACCTCAGAAAATCTATTCTCACACGCGAGTGAGTAGATATAGCCCAGACATTATTACTTTATTTTATACAAGAGCATAGTATATGTACGAGAGGAAGCAAACCCGTAAAGAAAATTGATGTTTGTATTATTATCGTTAATTACAGTAATTATTACGCATTAAGAAAACTTTATTAATTTATTTTCTTCGTACGCCCTTACCATTTCTCTCTTTCTTTTTTTTTTTACCGATACTTCTATCATTAGTATACTATCGCAACGATTATGCTGTTTTTTAGGGTGCAGTTACTTTGTAAATAATTTTTATCTACGATTGTACATAGATTGTCTGCGGAAGAATATTAAAAAGTATATATTTTAATATATTATGTATAATGAACTACATCAAATTATATAATCCTATTGTTTAAAGTATTAAAACGATACACGAAATATTTAATGATATTGTTGACCCTTCTGAATGCAGTATCTTGTTGTAACCGACAATTGAAATAAAATTAAGACAGTGTATCGATGTTTGATGTGTTCTAACGCACGTATCGAAATTAGTGTCTTACTCATTGAAGAAAACGAGGCGTAGTGAAAAACACGAGGGGTATTAAATACGCAAATAAGTAACTTTATTATATCAAAGAATCAATAACAATTGCTTTGAAAAAAGTACGACTACTAATTTTATCTGGCAGTTATTGCCTATTCATTATTTCGATCCTATGCAAAATTAAGCTTACTTTTGTATGTATCGTTGTATAACAAATCCACTAACTTGCTTACGTTTGGCGTTTTAAAAATACCTCCTAACTTAATTAATATTTTTGTACTTTATTTAATACATTATATAACTTGAATATATAACTTGAATATATATATATATATATATATATATATATATAATATCTAATATCCTAGATTTATAATATAAACGAAAAATCATCATTCACTTGGAATAAAAAGATTTCTAAATTACGAGTCACAGCGTTTGGAAGAGATTAGATTATAAGAAATGGAATGCAGTGGATGTAAAAACAAAAAGGTCTGTACGCTTCTACGTATCATCGTTAATTCATTAACAGTTTTATTTATACAGTCTTGAAAAATTCAGTATAAAAAGCATTTTTGACGGTATACATGATTCTCTAAAATATTTCTCCAAATAACACTACATGCCGTAGCATATTTATACATATATATTCATCAATATATATATATATATATTTATATATATATTTATATATATATACGTATATATATATATCTTATTTTCAGGCGTTTAATCGTTTAGTTTCTCAACACTTTTCATCCTGAAATATTCATATACGTCGAGATTTGACTAGCAACCCCAATGTGCAAAAATTTCATATCTCAAACTAGAGTAAAATTAAGTACGTTAATTACTAGTTTATCACATTTGCAATAGGCTTATACGTGAAATCTTCATATTCCATCCGTACTTATAATTATAACCTCGACTAACAGTATTTGTTAGCTGGTAAAATATGAGTAATGTGTGGTGTGTAACATACAATAGAGTATGTAACTTGCATAGATCCCTAGGCACAAGGTGAAACGCTCCAAATGTTATTTATACAAGTCATTGTAGTTTCTTCATTACTTCTTCGTGGCAGTCCGTATTGCTAAGGTTTACAGTACCAAGGAATGTGGGAATATCTTCATTTTTACGTAATCATCGAGAACCTATAAGTAGACGATTGAAATGAAGATTTTCAGTAAATTATTTATAGGGTATTAATTACAGGGGATGTACGAAAACCTCAAAATATCGACATTGATAGACATTTCGGGATGGATTCTAAAAAGTTGCTCAAATCCCCGAAAATGTGCAGAATCCTGGCATAAGA